CCTTGACTAAACCTAAGCACCGATAAAAAGATAGTGGTTACAGAAGCTACTCTGAAAAATTTACTGGGCAAAATTGGGCAACAACTTACAAAGATCTCTTCACATAATGCAAACTCTTAAAACTAAGCTCTTAAATCACTGTGAAGCTCCTCCAAAGGAAGAAAAATGAAGATGCAAAACTAGTATATATAATGGATTTCCTGTAGGCTAAAAAACTCAAAACTATAATAAATAGCTCATGACTAAAATATCTGAAAGGTAAAGACCTACAAGAAACAGAGCAGGAGGTTTTGAAAATCATACACTGGGAGCCAGGAAAAGGCAGTTTCTCCTATATTCCACTCCACTCCAGCTGGGCACACAGAGAACATTTCTCCAGCATGAAATCCTTCATCAGTATAGAGAAAGGGCACTCTGGATAATGCTTCCTTTCCATTTTTGATACACAACAGCACCATTTATCTACAAGAATAATGCATAGCACCTTGCATGAACAGAAGGCTGTAATTTAGCCAAGGCCTCCGCTGACAGACAAGGCCTCTTCTTTACTAGAAGGCAACAAATAATTGAGATTCAATTATTACTTCAGTGATCCTCACAGATGTCAGTCTCATGAGCACCTAACACGTATGCAAGCGTTATACGCGTGGGCATCAGGTCTCCTCCCACATTATCCCAAACCAGAAGGATTTGCACTGTGAGAAAAATCACACTACCCAGAACCTTAGTAAAGTGTCAGAGGAATAAAAAGAAACCAAACACCCTCCACCACGCAACATATATGGCTTCTAAAAGAAACAAAAAAAGCCCAAATAACTACTATTGCAAGCCTATACCTAAATAGTATACTATCATGTTCTACACATAGAACACATTAACCATATAAGTTACATTACTTGAATTCACTCCACGTCAAGGCAACAGTCAAGTTTATACTAACAGACAGAAGACACTATCTATAGAGTACAAGCAAAAGAGAATATGCTGAAGGGCAAGCAAAAATTAAGGATGGGGATGTTCCAATAAGGAGACTAAAAAGAGGCAGGAAATCCACTTGATTCAAGCCCTGTGATGAAGAGGCATTCCATCTTTAAATCTCTGCCTAAATCAATGATTTCCAAAGGTGACTGCCTCCTTTAAAAAGCATACAAGAATCAATCATCTGGGAGGCATAGCAATAGCCCCACCCACTCCTCTGTGATTCAAGAATCACAGATATTACAAGTCAGCATTATTGAGGGAAGAAGGCTGGAGCCTTCAGGTATGTTATGGCAAATAACAATAACAAATTGATAAGAATTTCCAGAATATGATGGCTTTAGAAAAAGGTCACAATTCACTAAATCTCAAAAGTTCACAAGTGTGATAATAAAAGAAGATGACATAGCACGAGATCTAATGGCAGAAACACAAGGCTATGAAAAAAGAATAAAAACATCTTCTGATGGCTATCAAGATTTAAGTCAGACGAACAGAAAATGGTTAGACAGTCCAAAATATAAAATGTCCTCAATTTTGTCTCCAATTATAGAAAGTAAGTAAGGGTAAAAAAAGATCCTGGGACTGAGCAACTACATCTAAATTGGTCAAATTCATCTTGCAGCTAACTTCTGATAGGGTGGATCACCTGACAGAAAATCATAATGGAAAAATATCCTGGGGTCGGGAAGAACAAAGGTAAAGTCAGAGATGTCTGTTTTTGCAGGAGGTGCCAAAGAGGCTCCCCAGAATATAATTCTTTTGTGGAAGTCACTGTCTTGGCTTAGAGATCAGCTTTTAACATCTCTACTCAACTCCATTTAGAATTCCATTTGGCTCAATGTTCTCAACCCTAGCTGCAACATTAAAGTAACCTGGGTAACATTTTAAAAATAGGTCTAGGTCCTGCCTTCCAGAAGTTTTTTTTAACTGCTCTTGGACCCAAGTACTGACAGTATTTTTTTAATGGTACTAATATGGGACTCATTTTGTAGCTAGAGTTGAGAACCATAGAGGTTAGTAGCTGCCAGGCAATATTTCATTAGCAGCACACCGCTGACCTCTATGGGTGAGGTTCTCTTAGAAACCCTGCAGTCTAGAGGCCTGGCTGACAGCCTTCCTGAAATGATCACTGAGCTAACCTAAATGCTGTTGCCAAACAACCACACAATTCAAACGCTGGTCATATTTTAAATAGGAGTTTGGGTC